CACCTGAGCCCAGGAGATCCAGGCTTCAGTGAGCTGTGATCGTGCCACTGCACTCCAGCTGGGTAATAGAGCAAGATTCTGTCTCAAAAAAAAGAAAGAAAAAATATTTGATTTTGGAATTCTGCTTTTCACCATATACTTTTTTTTGTTCCAGGACTGCCTATGTGCTTGCCGATGTCATGGATGATCAGTTGAAATCTATGTGGTTCACTCCATTTCAGGCTGAAGAGATTGATACAGATCTGGATTTGGTATAAATTATTTTATTACTAAATATTTAGAAAAATGTTGTTTTTTCTGTTTCTTTGTATATTGTTAGTATTATAATAGTTTCCATATTTTATGGCTATTGGAGGACTGTTATGGACTTGGAGGCCAGTCCTATGTAATTTTTATGCTACTTGCCCACTTTATGGCATCCAGAAAGTTTTCTTCTGCTTCTTTTTTGCTTCTTTCTAGTTAGTGATCTGTATTTTGAGATTGTTAATAGATAAAGTCTTACTATGTTACCCAGCTGGTCTCAAACTCCTAGTCTGAAATAATTCTCTCTCTTTGGCTTCCCAAAGTGATGGGATTACAGGCATGAGCCAGCACATTTGGCCAGAAAATGTGACTTTTTTAAGGGCAAAATCACACTTTTGCATAAGTTCTATGAAGCACTTTGTTTTCTTAGGGTATAGAATAGAGAAAAGTATCCCACAAAACAACAGTTTATTGTTGCATTTGGGTTTAAGGAGAGGAGTGGTTGTGCTATGGTGTGGCTCTCAGTTTAGAAACTTATAAAGAATATATTTGTTATAGTATGAATGGAAATTGACATTGTTAAACATAATGCTGAATAGATAAAAGTATAATTAGCTATTTAAAATTTAATGCAGTCTGTTTTACCCTTCTCAGAGTTGTAGTAGGGAGAATTATTTTAGCCACATCTTATTATAATGTATATGGTTTGTTTTCTTTATCAAAGAAACATACTGGTATTCATCATGTGCAGTAAAACTAAAAGAATGATTTGCTTCACATTTGTACTTAGTGTATTGAGGGCTGCTTTTCCTTTTTTAAAAAAACCACATGCAGTTCAATTAAAAGTACATTAAAAATTAATTTCTTTTTAGTGCAAGCAGTTCAGTGATTCTTTAAAACTGTCTTCTCCAGTAGAATTCTATGCAGTAATGCAAATATTTTGTAGTCTGCCCTGTCCAATACAGTAGCCTTGTGTGCCTGTTGTACAACTGAAATGTGGATGATGAGGGAACTGAATTTTATTTTGATTTTAATTTTGATTAAATTTAGATAGGCACATGTGGTTAGTGGCTACCATGTTGGGCAGCACAGGTATAAAATATTTCTGTTACAAGTTACTAATTTTATAACTTTAAGTTGAATCACAACTGTCTTGTGATGATAATTGTAACCCTCTGGATTAGAGAAATTTTAGGTATCTTAAATTTGATAAATTTGAATAAAACCTAAGTGAACTTAATTTTGATTTCCCTGAAATTAAACTTACATTGGAACTTTATTAAATGCATAGAGCTTTTGGGAATCTGTGGCACAGAATTTTTTTGTAATAGAACTGTTGACTATATAAGGCTGGCAGAGTATGTTATTTTCAGATTCTTTTTTTGTTTTTGGAAAAGTTCAGGAGCTATTACAGTGTTAATTTATATAGACAAATATTGAATTTCCTGCTCAGGCATTGAAGGTCTCCTACATTAATAACCCTGCTTTGAAGAATGCCACACACAAAAAAAGTAGCATTACTAAGGTGTGTGTGTGTGTGTGTGTGTGTGTGTGTGTGTGTGTTTTTAAACTACCAATACCATTTGATTTTTGAAAAGATGAGGGAAAGCTATAATTTATTTCTTAGGAGGGGCAAATATAATTTATAATTACAAGAATTTCTGTAGTCAAATGTTATGCTAATAATTACATTTAAGATATATTTTGTTTTATTATTATCACTGCAGGTAAAGGTTGATTTAATTGAGCTCTCTGAAAAATGCTGTAGTGACTTTGATTTGCACTCAGAATTAGAGCGCTCATTTTTGTCAGAACCATCATCTCCAGGAAGAACCAAGACTACTAAAGGATTCAAACTTGGGAAGCACAAGCATGAGACCTTTATAACTTCTAGGTAAAATTTATTCCACTGAAGATCTCAATTGTGGTCATATAAGCTTATTTATTTTAGTGTATTTTAAGATAGAGACATGCTGTTAAACTAGAAAGGAAGTTAACGTAGCATTTGAATCATGAACATTGTTTAAATTTTTTAATTTAAAGATAATAATTTGGCCAGGATATACCCAGTACATTTGTTATATTGTTTTTTATGAGATTTTGGAAAGTTTGAATAAGAAGGGAACTGGATTATTTTAAAACATTGTTACTCATATCAGTGAAATGTGAGTACCTTTCTTACCTAGTTTGTTATATTATCAGAAGTACAAGAGATACTTGCAAAGATAACAGAATTAAGAGTACAAAAAATTTGAAAAATAATTTTGAGTATTATAAAGATTATTTTTGCTAGAAATTTGAAAAAAGAAAATGTTTTATGCATGTTTTTGTTTTAATAGTGGAAAATCTGAATACATTGAACCTGCCAAACGAGCTCATGTTGTGCCACCACCAAGAGGAAGGGGCAGGGGAGGATTTGGACAGGGTATACGACCTCATGATATTTTTCGTCAGCGAAAACAGAACACAAGTAGACCACCATCTATGCATGTGGATGACTTTGTTGCTGCTGAAAGTAAAGAAGTGGTTCCTCAAGATGGAATACCTCCACCAAAACGGCCACTCAAAGTATCCCAGAAGATTTCTTCCCGTGGTGGGTTTTCAGGCAATAGAGGAGGACGGGGTGCTTTCCACAGTCAGAATAGGTTTTTCACACCACCTGCTTCAAAAGGTAACTAATTAGTGTATATTTTCTAATGGGTTAGAATATTGGAATGTTAAAATAATTAATGAAAGTGATTTAGATGGAAGAGATTCAGATAAACTGTTTCCCTGTTGCTGTAGCTGAGCCACCTCTGGACTAATGGTGCTCTTTGCGGAGTACTCTATTGGATAGAAGGAAGAAACTTTTTATCAATGGACCTTTGATACAATGTACTTTTAATAATGAGTTCAGAAGTCTTGGCTAATTATCCACACACACCCACCCCCCCGCCCCCGCCTTTTTTGAGACAAGAATCTTGCTCTGTTGCCCAGGCTGGAGTGCAGTGGTGTTATCTCAGCTCACTACAAACTCTGCCTTCTTAGTTCAAGTGAGTCTCCTGCCTCAGACTCCCAAGTAGCTGGGACTACAGGCGCATGCCGCCATGCTCAACTAATTTTTATATTATTAGTAGAGACAGGGTTTTGCCATGTTTGCCAGGCTAGTCTCAATCTGCTGACCTCAAGTGTTCCACTCACCTTGGCTTCCCAAAGTGCTGGAATTACAGGCGTGAGCTACAGTGCTCGGCCTTATTTTCCTTTTTACACTGAGAATTGTACATTTTCTGAGTAATACCCTTACATTATTTTCACAATTTTACTTACTTAACAGTTTTATTAAGATAGTTCTGTGTCTGTATGAAATTATTACAAGATTTTTATTTTTGGAGACAGAGTTACGCTCTTGACACCCCGGCTGGAGTGCAGTGGTATAGTCTTGACTCACTGCAACCTCTGCCTCCTGGGTTCAAGGGATTCTCCTGCCTCAGCTTCCCGAGTAGCTGGGATTACAGGCATGCACCACCACACCCGGCTAATTTTTATATTATTAGTAGAGATGGGGTTTCAGCATGTTGGCCAGGCTGGTCTTGAACTCCTGACCTTAGGTATTCCACCTGCCTCGGCCTCACAAAGTGCTGGGATTACAGATGTTAGGCACTGTACCTGGCCTTACAAGATTTTAGCAACTAGGTATACTTATAGAAATTACACTTTACTAATGGATTGACAAACATGTTTTCATACTTGCTGAGTTAGGAGGGTGAAAGAGAATATGCATTTATAGTAATAACAAACACTTAGATTAGGTGTGTAGGAACTGTTATAAGCACTTTACATATTATAACCTCACATCAACCCCGTGAGGCAAGTTCTCTGAGTACTCCCACTTTGCAGAAGAGAAAATTGTCAGTCAGCTGACCAGGGCACAGAAATACAAGTGGTAGAATCAGTATTTGATCCCTGGCAGTTTGGCCCTAAAGCCTTTCCTCTTAACCACTGTTAGGCTGCCTCTATTTAATACAGTCAGTTTACAGAATTTCAGTTTCTTTTCCATTCTTTTGAAGATTAAGAAAAATCTGTCATTTAAAAGAATCCAATTGAAGTTGTGAAAAAAGTGATTTTGATTGTGCTGTCTGTGTTTAGGAAACTACAGTCGTCGGGAAGGAACAAGAGGCTCCAGTTGGAGTGCTCAGAATACTCCTCGAGGAAATTACAATGAAAGTCGTGGAGGCCAGAGCAATTTTAACAGAGGCCCTCTTCCACCATTACGACCCCTTAGTTCTACAGGTATACATCTTTGCTACTTGATATTGCTGAGAGAAGGGAAGTTAATTCTTCCTTTTCCAATTGTTGGTATCACATACAGTTGTTCCTTGAACAGTGAGGTGGTTAGGGGTGCTAAACTCCCCATCTCCTTGCCCCACGCAGTCAAAAATCTAAGTATAGCTTTGATTTTCCCAAAACTTAACTACTGATAGTCTGCTGTTGACTAGAAGCCTTACAGATAATATAAACAGTTGATTGACACATATTTTATATGTTACATAATGTATTACAGTTAAGCTGGAGAAAAGAAAATGTTATTAAGAAAATCATAAGGAAAAACATTTACTGTTAAGTGGAAGTGGATCATCATAAAGGTCATTACATTCCATAGGCTGAGGAAGAGGAGGAGAGGTCTTACTTTCTTAGGAGTAGCAGAGGTGGAAGAAAATCCACATATAAGTGGACCCAGGCAGTTCAAACCCATGTTGTTGAAGGGTCAACTGTACTCTCATTCTGTGAGAGAATATTTTAGAGTATAGACTTAAGTTCTAAAGTTTATTTCCTTGAATGAATGCCCAATATATATGTTCTATAAAAATAATCAGATTTTAGTTTCTGAACTGTTTGTGTAATCCAAACAGTTTCATGATGATGTGCTTTTATTTTTATATTTCAGTAATGAAAGTCAAAGCTTAAGTTAACTTTCTGAACACAAAGTATTTTAATAACAGAGATACCTTTATAAATAGCATACTTTTTTTGCTTAGGTATATAAGCAAAAAAAGTTTTGTCTTAGGTATATAAGCACATAAACTTTTTTTTCCTGAAACATCTAGTCTGGAATTTTTCCTCATCAGAAGTAGTTTTTGGTTTCAAATGCACATTTTAAAAAAATAAGTTTTATTTGGGATATAATTATCATAAACCATATAGTTTACCTGTTAAAGTATAGAATTCAAGACTCTTCAGCCCATTCACAGAGCTTGCACATGAGTTTTAAGAGAGAAAAGCGTAATTCTTGGTTTGAGCTCAGTGTCATAGATTAGTATTTGTATGACAGGAAAAGAAAGGATAATTGGAACTAAAAAGTATATTCTTTCTTTTACAGGTTACCGCCCAAGTCCTCGGGACCGTGCTTCTAGAGGTCGTGGGGGACTTGGACCTTCTTGGGCTAGTGCAAATAGCGGCAGTGGAGGCTCAAGAGGAAAGTTTGTTAGTGGAGGCAGTGGTAGAGGTCGTCACGTACGCTCCTTTACACGATAAAAATGCTTTTGGGAACATCCTAAGTGTATATGAACATTTCATGAGGACAATAAAAATAAGACATTGAAGGACCAATTTAGACTTAGCAGTTATCTGGAGACATCTGAGAGAATATTTTTATCTGAAGAAAGCAGATTTTGTTTGATACCTAACAAGATTTCAATAAAAATCCAATCTTTTTATGTACGTTTTGTATATATATTTTTCCCTTTTTTTATATGACTATTTATTTAGAAAATTTCTAGGTAGAAAAACAAAATGATTTGTATTTTTCTGGCTTATAGCACAAGTGTTCTCAAACTTTCTGTTTATGACACTATTTAGTGTCTGAGTACTTTTTTCACAGCATACCTGGTCCAAAAGAAATATCTAATACTTGTATTTAGTAAGCAGTTAGGTCCAACAGCTTAATAAGAATGTACATCATCACCACTAGTAATTGTGGACACTGCCCATCTCAAACCTTGGACTCAGTATCATTCTTTTCCTCTCTGGTTTTTGCACAGTACTTTTAATCAAACTGCTGAAAACCTAGTTTTACAAAGATACATTGTTATAGAAAGGAATATAATGCTATTTAGTGTTGAAAATGTAAACTACCTCAAACTAGTAGTTTCTGTCATGTCCAACAGGTGTTGCTATGTTTTTCTCAAAAATTTAAAAATATTGTGTGGCACTCATGTTAATTTGCTAAGGTGCCCTGGTACACAGTTTGGGAACAATGGCTGTACCAAAAGAAACAAAATATTCCTATCCTTTGTTTTAGAAATCTGAACTTTGCATTTCAGCTTTGGATCTACTGACACTATTTTATTATACAGTAACTTAAAGCCTAAAATGAGGCATATACTAACACTGTTATTTTGGGAATCAGAAACAGCTAATAAAAGCTAGACTTTACATATAGAAATAAAGCTTATAGCTTTGAGAAAGTAGCCATATTTTCCCCAAGATATGTCTTAACACACTGAGCCTATATAACTGGCATAAAATACAGAGTTCTCTTAATCAGAAAAGGAGTGTATGAGTCTCATTCCATCCTTTTATCAGTCTCTGTTTTGGGGAACTATTTGTGAGTGAATACATTCTGTTCATTAAGAAAACATCTTAAAGAAAGGCTTAGCTTGTAAAGAATCTGATGTTTTTTTTTTTTTTTTTTTTTTTTTTTTTT